AGCCACAGCACCACTTCCGGCTTTTTTCTTGCTTATGGGTGCTGAGGAATTGAACCCAGGGCCTCAAACATGCAAGGCAAGCGCTTTACCACTGAGCCACCCTCCCAGCCCCTCATACCTGTCATCGTAAACTACTCAGGAGGCTGAGATTTGAGAATTACAGTTCAAAGCCAGCCCCACAGAAATGTTCATGAGACTCTTGCCCCCAATTAACCACCAAAAAGCAGGAAACAGCTATGGTTCAAGTGGTAGCCTTGAGCAAAAAAGCACAGGGACAGCACCCAGAACCTGAGTTCAAGCCCTAGGACTGGCATTGAAGTGAGAAAAAAAAGAAAACACAAAGCAACAACAACAAAAAGGACGTGTTCCAGGAAGCTTCCAGATAGATAGCCTAATGCATGAAGCGTTCTTAGAAGGTAATGTTGCCTGCAGGGTGCGGAAGTTCCTAGCTCTTTCCTATAAGCCTTACCCTCTGTCTGGCTTCTTCTGAAACCTAATATCCTCTGTAATTAACTGGTAGGCACTGGTAGCATGCCTGTAATCCTAGCTACCCAGGAGGCTGAGATCTGAGGATTTCTGTTTGAAGCCAGCCAGGTCAGGAAAGTCCCTAAGGTTCTTTCCAATTCATCACCAAAAAAGTTGGAAGTGGAGTCCTGGTTCAATTGTAACTATGCTTGAGTGCAAAAGCTAAGGGACAGGGCACAGGCCCTGAATCCAAGCCTGAGTACAGGCATAAACAAACAAACAAAAAGTGCTAAACGTTAAGTTAGCATTTCCCTGTGTTCTGTGAATTGCTTAAGCAAATCAAAGGAGTCTATCAGAGGCTCTGTTGAAACTGTCTTATAGATTTATAGCAAGAAACTACCTAAGGAAGCATGGCTGGCATCTAAAGTGGGTGGGGCAGGGGGGGACAAACTGGGCTCTTCAGGTAAGCAGTGTCAGAGCTGAATTGAGTTGAAGAATAATCAGGTGATGTCCTGTGCATAATTAACTGCTTGCTCCATGTGTGCACCTGGTGTGAGAGACTGAGGCTGAAGTTGACTTTTATATCCCCAGAGTACATTTTAACTGATTTATAAGAGTTTAATGAACCAAAACTTCCATGTACTGAAAACTACCAGGTCCAGGTACTTTCCTTCTGAGATTTCCCAGGAGATCCTGTGCAGCTCCCAGATCTCAATGATACTTATAGAATTTTGTATAAAATACAAAAATTGTTGCCAGGTGCTGGTGGCAGGAGGCTGAGATCTGAGGATTACAGTTTAAAGCCAGCCCAGGCAGGAAAGTCTATGAGACTCTGTTTTCCAATTAACCAGTAAAAACCTAGAAGGGGAAGGGCCGCTCGCAGAGGACCAGCCTTGAGTGGAAAAAGCCAAGGGAAGTTCAAGGCCCTGAGCTTAGGCCCCAGTTTAGGAGGACGAGGAGGGAGGGGAGGGGGAGGAGGAGGAGGAAGAAGAAAAAGAAAAAGAAAAGAGGAGGGCTAGGAATGTACCTTAGTGGTATAGTGCTTGCCTAGCATGCATGTAGCCCTGGATTCGATTTCTCAGTACCACATAGACAGAAAAAGCCAGAAATGGTGCTGTGGCTCAAGTGGTAGAGTGCTAGCTTTAGGGACAGTGCCCAGGCCCTGAGTTTGAGCCCCAGGACTGGCAAAAAAAAAAATAATAAAAAGAAAGAAAATAAAGAAAAAGAAAGAGAGTGGGATTGGCATGTAGGTCACTGACAGAGCACATGCTGGGCAAGTAAAACAACAAAAAAGAACCCTTTACACCAGCTCTAATGTGTTCTAGTTAGCAAGACAACAATGATCCTTCTGTGTGGCAAAGGAGCCATCTTATTTGTGATTAGCAGATATGTTCCTGGAACTGAAGCATCTGACTAAAGAGCTTTGCCTGACCTCTCTTCTCTCCCTGATAAATGGCAAGATAAGAGACTGTAATGTCTGCTTCTAGTAATCAGTAACCTGGAAAAGTAATCTGGAGACAGAAGGTGTACCGGTTAGGATGCTGACTCTGTGATTTCCCCCTAGTGGAGCATACAGGGCCTTGTGCTTGGTAACCAAGTGATCTACCACTTGAGTCATGCCCCCAGCCTTTGATTCTTAGGATCTTAAGGAGATTGGACAGAACCTTTGTATTTCTGGCCTCAACTTCCTTCATTTTTTTTTCTTTTTCTTTTTTTTGTCGGTCATGGGGCTTGAACTCTGGGCCTAGGTGCTATCCTTGAGCTCTTCAGCGCAAGGCAGCAAGTGCTCTACCACTTGAGCCACAGAGCCACTTCCGGTTTTCTGTATATGTGGTGCTGAGGAATCCCAGGGCCTCATGCATGCATGCATGTGAGGCAAGCACTCTACCACTGAGCTACCTTCCCAGGCTCTCCTTCATTTTTCTATGGGAGGTTACTTTAGGAGATAAAACTATAAAGTGTGTGATTATAAAAAACAAAACACAAAGAAGTGGAATTAAAATCTTGAGCCAAGTGCCCATGGCTCATGCTTGTAATCATAGCTATTCAGGAGGCTGAGATCTGAGGTTCACAGTTCAAAGCCACTTCTGAAGGAAAGTCCTTGAGACTCTTATCTTCAATTAAACACCAAAAAGCTAAAAATGGAGCTGTGGCTAACGTGATAGAGCACTATCCTTGAGCAAAAAAGCAGGAACAATGTTTAGGCCCAGAGTTCAAGTTCCAAAACCAGCCCACACACAAAATAAGATTCCCTAAAATTCTAAGTTAGCCTTTGGAAACCTTCCAGAAGGGAAGATGGACAGAGGTGTAGCAAACTTGACTAAAGGGAGCTCCACAGCAATCTGCTTCTGAAGGGTCCTATGTGAGCAATAAGTTGACAATTGCTGGGTTATATCATTTAATCCATCAAAAAAACTTCCTGAATGGGGGAGCAGGAGATGTTTCTTCCTCTTTTCTGTTTCTCTCTACTTTATCCCTGTTACCCTAAAATAAATATTTGCTAAAACTTTCAAAAAAAAAAAAAAAAAAAAGCAACGATATTGCCAAGTGCCGGTGGCTCATGCCTGTAATCCTAGCTACTCAGGAGGCTGAGATCTGAGCATCGCGGTTCAAAGCCAGCCCAGGCAGGAATGGCCCTGAGACTCTTACCTCCAGTAAACCACCAGAAAACCGGAAGTGGCGCTGTGGCTCAAGTGGTAGAGCATTTACCTTGAGCTGAAGAGCTGGGGGACAGAGCCCAGGCCCAGAGTTCAAGCCCCACAACCAATTGAAAGAAAGAGAGAAAGAAAGGAAAGGAAGGAAGAATGATATAGAAAGTCTTAAGGATTAGACAGTATTGTAAGCATCATGAACTTGATGGTACTTGTTTAAAGTTCATTGGCATTTTTGGTGCAATGCTGGCAATGAACCTGGGGCCTTAGACATGCTAGACAAGTGCTTTATCACTGAACTATGTCTCAGTCCTTATCAGCTTGCTTATTATTTCTTCCTTTCTTCTTTCCTTCCTTCCTTCCTTTCTTCCTTCCTTCCCTTTCTTCCTTCCTTCCCTCTCTCTCTTCTCTTCCCCTTCCTTTTCTTCCTTTCTTTTTTTCTTCATTCCTTTTCTAAAAAAAACAAAAAACATTTGAGACAAACTGGCTTCTAATTCACAATCCTCCTGCCTCAGCCTCCTGAGTGCTGGGATAGGTGTGCACAAGTCCTTACCTTGCTACTGTGTTCTGAGTACTTAAAAGATCTCAGGAGCCTGTTGTATTCCTTGTAGTTGTGAGCTATATGAACACATCACTTCTAATGCAGTGCAGCCTTGCCTCTTGCTCATGGTTCTTGGAGAGCCCAATTGAACTGGGACCTGTGCTGCTGGTTGTCTTCCCTGGAGAAAATATGGACTAATCCCACTAACAGGACACTAGAGGACTGTTTGTGGGTTTGTTTGTGGGTTGTTTTTTTGGGGGGGAGGGGTTGATCCCAGGGCTTAAACTCAGGGCCTAGGTGCTATCCCTGTTTTTCTGCTCAAAGCCAGCCCTCTTTCACTTTGAGCCACAGCTCTACTTCCAGCTTTCTGGTGGTGAATTGGAGATAAGTTCTCAGCCTCATGAGTAGCTAGGATTTTGGGATTACAGGTATGAGCCACCAGCCCTTGGCTCATGCTGTATTCTTTATGGCCTGCTGAAATATCTCATATGCCTAAGCAACTAACTGAGGCTTTACTGAAGCGGTTTCCAGATCATTTCTGTCACTAGTAGATTCCCTCACTTCCCTTCTTGCCTGCCCAGCTTCTATTTTCCTTTGCTCTGTCTGCTCCCATGATGAGACTTTAGCTAAAGCATTCAAACCCAGGCTAGGAATGTGGCTTAGTGGTAGAGTACTTGCCTAGAATGCATGAAGCTCTGGACTTGATTCCTTACTACCACATAAACAGGAAAAGCTGTAAGTAGTGCTTTGGCTCAAGTGGTACAGTGCTAGCCTTGAGCAAAAAGAAGCTCAGGAACAGTGCCCAGGCCCTGAGTTCAAGACCCAGGACTGGGGGGGGAAAAAGTATTAAACTCTGCTGTAGGCCTGTTTTCTGCAGAACCAAGTGACAGCTGCACATTGAATGTGTTCTGTGAGGACTGTTTCAGGGTCGATTTTCTATAAAGTGCATACTGGGAAATGCTAGTTTAGAAACCTCCTTCAGGGGCTGGGAAGGCGGCTCGGTGGCAGAGTGCTTGCTTTGCATTCATGAGGCCCTGGGTTCGATTCCTCAGTACCACATAAACAAAAAAAGCGGGAAGTGGCGTTGTGGCCCAAGTGATAGAGCGCTAGCCTTGAGCTGAAGAGCTGAGGGACAGCGCCTAGGCCCAGAGTTCAAGCCCTGCAACCAACCAAAAAAAAAAAAAAAAGAAAGAAAAAGAAACCCTCTTCAAGGTAGAATGTAAGCCTAGTCTGGCCAATGTCTTCTACCCATCAGGTCTTCCATTCATCCATGCAGAACTCTCTTAGGGAGATGAAGTAAATGAATAAAACGCCAGATCTTTTGTTGTAACAGGAAGAGAGCATTGTGCATTTATTGAAACAACATAGAACACACACAGTGCCTGCCCCTGACAGCACAGGCACTGGAATACAGTACATTATCCTCTTCTAGGCCAGGGAGGGCTACCTAGCTCTCCCACAGAGAAGAGGAAGTGGGCAACTCTATCAACCTGCCTTCCTTCCCCTCTCTCTAACCATCACCAGTCACACAATGACCAGGCATGACCATACAAAAAGTTTCTTTACAAAAAGCACCAAATTGGCATACATATACAAGTATTTACAAAAAAAAAAAAAAATCACATTTTAAAAACGTACAAAATATTTCACTTTGCACCAAGGTAGAAAAGTGTCCGGTGTGATTGTTTCAAGCACATTTTCAATTCTGCTTCAGTGGCTGCTGAACACAGCGGTGGGGGTTCTACTCTAGTCTCTGCTCTCTGAGCAGAGAGAAGACTTACCTCCCTGTTGCCCCTCCAGGGACTCTGACCCCTCCCACTCTGGGCCTGTCACCAAGGCAACCAGGCCCATCCCCACCCCTGCTTCCCAGTCTCCCTGCATCCAGGGGGTCTCTCTCATCCAGCTCCTTACTGGTGTCCTGAAATAAAGACAGAAACAGAGATACCTTGGTGAGAAAGACTCAAGAGGCTCCAGGGCCTACCAAGCTACAGTGACAAACAGAACCACTCAACTGCATTTCCTGCCTAGGCTCTTCACTTTCAAACCAAAGGAAGTCCAGTGCCAGTGGCTCACACCTGTGATCCAAGCTATTTGGAAGGCTAAGAACAGAAAGCTCACAGCTCAAGGCCAACGGAAGGAAGCACAGCTGTGTACAACTCATATGGAAGACTAAGGTGGAAAGTACTGTGAAAAGTCCTTGAGACTCCATCTTAACAGAGGGAAGATGGATACAGAGATAACAGGAAGCCTAACGCAGGCAGACCAGGCTCCAGGCCTAGCTCAAAAAACGTTAATAAACAAAGCTAGCTGGGTGCAGGTGACTCATACCTATAACCTTAGCTACTTAAGAGGCTGAGATCTGAGGATCTTGGTTCGAAGCTCGATCAGGAAAGTCCATAAAACTCTTACCTCCAATTAACCACTAAAAAGTCAGAAATGCAGCTATGGCTCCAGTGATAGAGTGTTGGCCAATAGCAGAAAATCTCAGGAACAGCGTCCAGGCCCTGAGTTCAAGACCCAGGACCAGTAACACACACACACACACACACACACAAAACCTTTGAGAGCCAGGCACTGGTGGCTCACGCCTGTAATCCTAGTGACTCAGGAGGTTGAGATCTGAGGATCACGGTCCAAAGCCAGCTTGGGCAAAAAAGTTCCTGTGAGCCTCTTATTTCCAATGAACCACTTGGAGTTGTGGTTCAAAGTGATAAAGTGCTGGCTAGCTTTGAGCAAAAGAGCTGAGGGACAGTGCCCAGGCCCTGAGTTTGAGCCCCACGGCTTACCAGAAACAAAAACAAAAAACCTTTTTGAAGTTGAGTATTTTTTCAGCTGGATTGGCTCACATGATAGAATGCCAGCTGTGAGCATGCAAACCCAGGAAAGAGTACATGGCCCTCAGTCCAAGTTCTGGAACCAAAAAGATGACTTTAGTTCCAGTGATGTCTTGGCTTAAAAACTTGGCTTAACATTAGTGTAAGTGGCGCTTTGGCTCAAGTGATAGAGTGAGCCTTGAGCAAAAAGAAGCTCAGAGACAGTGCCTAGGCCCAGAGTTCAAGCCCCAGGACAGCAACAGAAAAAAAAAAAAAACTAACATTTGCAAATATGTGCTAATCTAGCAGACATGCCCTGCACTAAATGATTTTATCTCATCTACTCCCACTACCAAAACTCATCAGGTAGAAGTATCATGCCCCTATGCACAGGTAAATAACCCAACATTCGGAGAAGTCATGAACTTCACACAGCTTGTCCATCCATGGTACAAGCTGCAAGCTCTCAGCCAAACACTGTTCAACTGGAAAATTCAGATGCCATCTGGGGCCAGAAGAAACATGGACGAACACAGAAGGCAAACTTGATGGGGGGGGGGGTCCCTGGGCCAGGCAGGGTCTTTCTCTTCCCATTTATCCTTCTCATGCAGCTGGGGTATTAGATATGTATCATGGTGCCCAGCTTTGTATTGGTTGAGATGAGGTCATAGTTTTTTTTGTCCTTGGCTGACCTTGAATCCGGATCCTCCTGATCTCCACCTTCTGAGTAGCTAGGGTTACAGGTCTGAGCCACAGAAACCAGCTTAAAAAGAAGCTTTTTACTATAAAAAAATATTTTTCTAAGGGCAAAGATAACAGGCTTAACATACAGTCAAACTCCCATACTTGGGGATGGAGAGAATGTATATTTACTGTATATAAGTAGTTCACACCTGTAATCTAGATACTCAAGAGACTGAGATCTGGAGGATCATAGTTCAAAGCCAGCAAGGGTAGAACAGTCATCAAGACTCCATGACCTAGTGCCATCCCCAGTGTGGAGCCTGGGACTTTGTGCCTAGTACCTTCTGCGTGTGGCTATGGAAGGAATGGAGCAAGGTCACATGGAGGAGGGTGGGCTGCTTACCTTCCTTCTCTTCTGTGGATACCTCCTCTTCCTGCTCTTCTTCATCTTCAATGAACTCTTCCTCCTCCTCATCTGTCACAAAGAGTGATTGTGTTAGACAGGGCTGGCTTCTCAGAGCAGCTATGAGGACTAAGTCATGCTGCAGGAAACACTGGTCCCCGTGTTCAAGCCCCATGTGAACCCAACGCAGCACTCAGACACAGCAGAGACCCAGGAGGCTCGGGGCTGGCCCTGCCCCCAGGTCCCCTGCCTCTGCCCCTTTGTAGAATGGAGCCTTTCGCTACAGTCTAGCAATGGCTTTTCCTTTTTCTTTTCTTTCTTGTGTGTGTGTGTGTATGTGTGTGTGTGTGTGTGTGTGTGTGTGTGTGTGTGTGCGCCTCTCACACTCTCATTTGTTTTTTTTTCTGTTTGAGGCTAGCGCTCTACCACTTGAGCCACACCCTTACTTCTGGCCTTTTGCTGGTTACTAACCCTCACAGACTTCACTGCCAGGTCTGCCTTTAAACTGTGATCCTCGGGGTCTCAGCCTCCTGGGCAGTTGGGATTACAGATGTGAGCCACCAGTGCCTGGCTCCCAAGGGTCCTGTTTAGTCAGGATCACAGTTACTACTCATGACAACACTCACTGAGGACTTTGTGTGGCTCAAGTGCTGGGCTAGTGCTGGACATGCGCTATGTCATATCGTTAGGAAACATGGAAGCCAGACCGCCCTCAGTGGGCTCTCCATGGGCTAATTATTAGCTGTGTAGCCTTGATTAAGTCACTTGCCTTCTCTTTACTTTCCTCAACTACAAAATGGAACTGATGAAAGAATTTTTCTGTTAAAGTTGCATGAAGTGATAGAATTTATGTTTGATGTCAAGGACTTAGTGCCAGGACATAGGAAGTACAATAATTGGGTTCAATAAATTATGGTAGCTGTTGCCACCTTCTATTCGTCTGGGTAAACTGAGGCGGGGGGGGGGGGGGAGTTGGAAGGGCAGGATATCACACAGGACCCATTCCTGAACATCTCTTTTCTGGAAGCAAAAGCAAGTTTTACTATGTAGCATAGGCTAGCTAGGAACCCACTGAATAGCTCAAGCTGGCCTTGAATTAGTGATCATTCTTTCTATACCTCTCTAGTGCTGGGAACACAGTTCAATCTAATTTTTTTTTTTTTTCAGTCCTGAGTCTGGGCACTGTCGCTGAGCTTCTTTTGCTCAAGGCTAGCACTCTACCACTTGAGCCATACCGCCACTTCCAGCCTTTTCTGTTTATGTGGTTCTGGGGAATCGAACCCAGGGCTTCCTGCATGCTAGGCAAGCACTCTACCAGTAACCCACATTCCCAGACCACAACCGCATTTTGAAGTTAGAAAAATAAAGCTCAAGCCAGGTGCCAGGGGCTCACACCTGTAATCCTAACTTCATAAGAGGCTAAAATTTGAGCATTACTGTTGGAAGCCAGCCTGGGCAGGAAATTTTAATCTCCCATTTACCACCAAAAAGCCAGTAGTAGAGCTGTGGCTCAAGTGGTAGAGTACTAGCCTTGAGCAGAAAAACAACAACAACAAAACTCAGGAACTGCACTCAGGCTCTCAGTTAAAGCCCTAGGACCTGTACAAAACAGCGGGATGAAAAGAAGAAAGAGAAGAAAAAAGGAAGAGATGAAGAGAAAAGATGGAAAGGCAGGGGAGGGAAAAGGAGGGGAAGGGAGAGGATTGGAGGAAGGGGAGGGGAGGGGAAGAGAGGGGAAGTGAAGGGAGGAGAGGAGAGGAGAAGAAGAGGGGAGAGGAGAAAGGGAAGAGAAGAGAGAAGGGGAGGAGTGGGAGGGGAAAGGAGAGGAGAGGAGAAAATGGGGTGGGGGAGGGGGTGGGCAGAGGAGATCACCAAAAGTCACCTAGATTACACACGCAAGGCAGGATACCAATTTGAATTCAGATATGTTGGATTCCAGATGCCATAATCTCTGAATCCATACATAATTTATTGAGTAATATTTATGCACCAGGCCCTTGGCTAGGCTCATTTCAAAGTTGGTGTGAGTTTGGCTTGAGAGTTGGGGGGGGGGGGGGGGTCTTTGATTGCCAACAGGGCTCAGTGGGAGGGCCACAGGCAGATCAGCAGAGAAGTGACACCACCACTTCCTTTACCTGTCCCAAAGTCGATGGCCCGCAGGGCTTCTGCGATGTGCTCTAAGTCCACCGTGAAGTAGTCCATGTTTTCAAAGCCCTGCTCTGTCTTCCCCAGCTGGCAGCCCTTGGAAGCTTCCACAATGCTGTGGGGAGGAAGAGGGGCAGGCTGAGACCAGGGCTCCGTGCAAGGAGGGGTGTCTCAGCCCTAGATCTCTGAGGGACCCTGCCAGGTTCCCATCCTGGCCTTATGGGTGGGTGGGGGGGCGGCAGGAGGGAAGGGGAGGCCCCTGGGGGGGGAAGGGGAGGCCCCTGGGGGGGAGCAGGAGTTCCTCTCCAGCCTCCAACAGAGCAGATGGTCCCACAAAGCAAGAAACCAAGGGTCAGGGAAGGCAGCCTGGGGAACCCCTCCTGCAGATCTAAGGCACAGGGTCCCACTAGGCAGAGGTCAGAGGTCTTGGGGTAGGTTTGGAGGGCTTAGATCACAGCTCCTGGGAGGACACTGACCTTTTAATGAGAGGCTTGGCACTCTGTGGGAAGCAGAGAAGAGAAGAAGAGGTTAGGGAATGACCCAAAACACATGCAAAAAAAAAAAAAAAAAATAGTGCCCAGTGATGGTGGCTCACTCTAATCCTAGCTACTCAGGAGGCTGAGATCTGAAGATCGCAGCTCAAAGCCAGCCAGGGCAGGAAAGTCCCTGAGACTCTTATCTCCAATAAATCACCAGAAAACCAGAAGTGGTGCTGTGGCTCAAGTGGTAAAGTGCTTGCCTTGAACTGAAGAGCTGAGGGACAGCGCCCAGGCCCAGAGTTCAGGCCCCACGACCAGCAAAAAATAAAAATAAATAAATAAATAAATAAACTAGTTAATGCTCAGGTGTTGCAGATGCACACTAGTGCCAGTCCTTAACCCAGGTATGATCCACTCCCCAACCCAAGTTGCAGAGAGCTTGGCTCTTTTTCCCTCTGTCTGTGGTCTGCACAGGTCTCCATTGGCCCCTAAGACCCACCCGTTGTCCTGGCAGCCTGAGTGCTCAAGGTCTCCATCCAAACACTACTAAAGCCCAGGGATAACCCAGAAACCATCAGCCTTGTCACCGTACTAGGAATAAAGCCTGCCCAAGGAAGAAGAGAAGGCTATATCTGTTTTTGTTTTATGTGCCAGTCTTGGGGCTTGAACTCAGGGCCTGGGCACTAACCCTGAGAGTTTTGGTTTGATTTTTTTGTTTTGTTTTGTATTGTTTTTTGCTCAGGGCTAGCGCTCTGCCACATAAGCCACACTCCATTTCCATTTATTTATTTGTTTATTTATTTATTTGGCACTTAATTGGAGATAAGAGTCTCAGGAACTTTCCTAGTTTTCAATTGCAATGCTCAGATCTGAGCCTCCTGAATAGATAGGATTACAAAGCATGAGCCATCAGCACCCAGCTAAAGATATGTTGAATGAACTCAACTTTCTTTTTTTTTTGCCGGTTATGGGGCCTGAACTCTGGGCCTGGGTGCTGTCCCTCAGCTCTTCAGCTCAAGGCTAGTGCTCTACCACTGGAGCCACAGCGCCACTTCCAGCTTTTTCTGTTTATGTGGTGCTAAGGAATCGAACCCAGGACCTCATGCTTACAAGGCATGCACTCTACCGCTGAGCTACCTTCCTAGCCATGAACTCAACTTTCAAGTCTTAGAGTGGAACCTTTTCTGTCATCCCCCACACACTTTCCTAGAGCAAGACTATGTGTTATTATTATCTCTGCCCCAAAGCCATTTCATAAACATCCACTTACTCAATCATTATAAAATCAGTAATAAGAAAGCAAGGCTCCCTGTGTGCCCATATCATGGATGAGAAACTGAGGTATGCCAAGGTTTAAATGGCATGACCACAGGGCCACAGGTGGTCAATAGAAGATCACAATCCAACCCTGCCCAGAGCTTCCAAAGCTCTGCTCACCAAGAGGAAGGTGGCCCCACCAGGCTCATCCAGGGACTGGATGGCTGTCTCCACCAGCTTGGTGGACTTGTCCAGCTGCTCCCGGTATTGCAGGATCAGGGCCTCGATGAAGCTGAGCTTCTCCTCCTGTTCCTGCGTGATCCGCTGCAGCAACTCGCTCTTCTTCTCATCCAGGATGGCGTACAGGGCATCAAACTTCTGGCTCAGTGCTTCCTTTACCTGGTGGCTATTCTCCTGAGGATAGAAACCCTGCAGTCACCTCCTGGGGTGGGGATGGGGGAAGAAGGGGGCTTCCTAACTCCCATCCCAAAGCAGGTGTGTCCAGCAGCCAGCCTTCTAAGGTGGGGAGACAGCTCACAACATCTCCATTTTAAAGAAAGTAAACCAAAGCTGGGCACTGGTGGCTCATGCCTGTAATCCTAACTCAGGAGGCTGAGATCTGAGGATCAAGGTTCAAAGCCAGCCTGGGCAAGAAAGTCTGTGAGACTCTTATCTCCAATTAAGCACTTAAAAAGTGTAGGTTAAGTGGTAGAGCACTAGCCTTGAGCAAAAAAGCCGAGGGACAGCACTCAGGCCCTGAGTTCAAGCCCCAGAACTGGCACAAAAAAAAAAAAAAATAACTTCATGTCTGACAAGAAGAAATTCCTAATTGCATGCTTCCTTCCAGATCTACTGAATGAACCCTGAATTTTCCACAGTTGCAGGGTGATAGGAATGCTTTTAGAATTTGAGAAGTCTTAGTCTACAACACGGTAGGGAACCACATACTGGAAATAGCGCTGAACAGATTCTGGGAACTGTGGGCGGGACACTCCCATGCAGGGGGACGGATGGGTCTCATGGCCAGCGCCTTGGGCAGCGCCTGCCATGCACAGCTGTGCTCAAGAAGTATTTGCTGAATGAGTGGGTGGATGGCTTCATTCCTCCCTCATGATCCCTGTCAGCCACCCCAGGCTCAGAGCCCCAGCCTTTAGTTTCAGCCTCTTTTCCAGAAACCAATTGCATGGGAAAGGGGCGCTTCAAACCCCAAGCGGGGCTCCTCTGTCCCCTCACCTTGGTCACTCGACAGGAGTCCTCCAGCTGCGTGATGATGGTCTGTGCTCGATCGTTCCCGGCCACCAGCATGGAGATGCAGTTGCTCAGTTCCGTCTAGGAGAGATAGAAATAAACGGAGGGCTGGGGCATGGCCATAATGTGGACTCCTCGTGGCCCTCTCTGAGAGGAAGAGTCTGGCCGGAGAGTAGTTCTTCTTTCTAGAGCACTGTGCAAGTCCAGAGCAGAGAATATCACTCTGCATCCTTTTTCTTTCTTTCTTTCTTTCTTTTTTTGTTACTAGTGGGGCTTAAACTCTGGGCCTGGGCACTGTCACTGAGCTCTTCAGTCAAGGCGAGCACTCTACCCCGCTTGAGCCACAGCGCCACTTCCAGTTTTATAGTAGTTTACTGGAGATAAACTCTCACGGCCTTTCCTGCCCTGGCTGGCTTTGAACCATGATCCTCAGATCTCAGCCTCCTGAGTAGCTAGGCTTCATCCCTTATTGACAGACGAGGCCCAGAGAGGGAAACTGAGCAAGGTACTGGCAGAGAACTAGAGAGCTAGAAAGTTCTAGAAAAGAGAGACTAAGAGAACAGTGGAGAGGAAGAAGAAAGAACACAGAAAAAGGGACTACAGGGCTGGGAATGTGGCTCAGTGGTAGAGTACTTGCCTAGCATGCATGAAGCCCTGGGTTCAATTCCTCAGTACCACATAAACAGAAAAGGCTGGAAGTGGCGCTGTGGCTCAAATGGTAGAGCACAGAGAGGCTCAAAGACAGTGCTCAGGCCCTGAATTCAAGCTCCAGGACCAGAGGGGGGGAAAAAAAGAAAAAGAAAGAAAGAAAGATGGACTGCAGCTTATTGCAGGGGCTAGAGGATGAGGTTCTCAGGACCAGGGAGGCAGCTCTAATATGGAGCCTGGCGCAGGAGAGAGGCTGGGGGTAGGAGAGGGGGTAACCTGGGATCCAAATAAGCAAGATTGAGAAGTCATGGCCTGAGAGGGCCTGTGGCCTGGCCCTGGGGTCTGATCTCTCCCCTGTGGCCACACCCAGGTACTCTCAAGTAGCTGTAAGTATATATAACCCATGAGCTCAGAGCCACAGTCCCTGCGACCTGGAAGTCCCTCCAGAGGGACTATTCCTGAAAAGCCTGCTCAGCACATCTACAAAGATCAAATCCACCTCTGGAATCATCTGGGGGCAGACGCGGCTGGGGCCAGTACCTTCTGTCCCTGGAAGACGCTCTGTAGCGGGGCCACCTCGCAGGCCTGGTGGGCCCCGAACACCTTGCACATGGAGCAGGTGGGCATCTCGCATGTGAGGCAGTAGATGTTGATTTTCTCATCCTCGTGCTCCTTGCACATCGGGTGGCTGCCCTTCTGCAGGGGCCGGCTGGGGGACAGAAGAGTCACAAGTCAAGATGGCCTGAATCCTTGTCTCCTTCCTCAGCTAGTCAAGGGAGGCCACCTAGATTCATACCCTGAGCTCCCAAACCTTTGCTTTTGTAAGTGCATGTGTGTCCCTGTACTGGGGTTCAAACTGAAGGCTATGAACTCTCTCACTAATTCTTTTCAGTTTGTTTGTTCATGTCTGGTGCTCTGCCATTAAGCCATGCTTCCAGCCGAGCATTTTGCTGGTTCATTGGCGATGGTGTCTCAGACTTTTCTGCCTGAGCTAGCTTTGAAGCATAACCCTCTAGGCCTCAGCCTCTGGAGTAGTTAGGATTTCAGGCATGAACCAGCAATATCTGGCTTAAAGTTTTTGCCTTTCATCTAGGGACCCAGGACCAGGAAGCCAATAACACTCCACCTAACACCCACATCCCAGGACTCCGACTCCAGTGCTGGAGTTGGCCTGACTCTGCCAACACAAAGGACATGGAGAGTGTCACAGAATGCCAGGGAGTCAGACCCGGAGAGGTCTCAAAGTGGAAATGTGGGGCCCCAGGAAGTGAACAGACTTGCCCAAGGTCACCCGGCATGGTGGGCAGCAGAGACTGCAGCTCTTTTGCTCTAATTATAGTCACCTTAGCTCTTGGTTACTGCAGCTGGGCTCTGAGCTAAGCAATTTATACTGATGGCCTCATAGAATTCTATATTTACCAGACTGTACCCTCCATTCAGGCAGAGAAACCTGACTGTTTTCTTCACCCCTAAGTTGACAGTGTACAGGGCCTGGCATGAAGAGGCAGTAGTTAAATTTAGGTGGAAAGAGTACATTGGCAAGCACAACTCATAGCCAAGGGTGGTGGTACACACCTGTAACCTCAGCACTCAGGAGGCTGAAACAGGAGGACCGTGAGTTTGGGCTACAAGGAAAGACCTTGCCTCAAACAGAAATTTTAATGAACATATCCTGAGGGTGTCTCCAGGACAGCATGTGATAACCAGGGCCATTCACTAATCCAACACAAGTCTTGAGTCCTCCATACTCAAATGTTCTGGGTTCAGAAACCCAGAATCTCTTTGTCTTCCTTCTCTAAAACATGGTTAGAACACCTCTTCCCCTTTAATCTGCTCTCTCCCACGTGTACTTCTCTCTTGGTTAGTTTCCCACCCAGCTTCCAGTTTTTGAGTCTGGTCCTCCTGGGTCTCTCCAGCGAAAACACACAGTCATTTGGGTTACAGGGATGTGTCTCCACCGCCTCCAATCTCTGGCTCTTAATGTCAGAGACATCCCACAAATGTCACAAGGTGACTATGGCTCATCAGTGTCAACACCTCCCCACCCAACAGCCTTGGATAGCTGGTCACAGCCCAGACACTGCTGTCCCTGCCAACTCTGAAATAAGTCTCTTGCCTGCCTGCTTGCCCTCTTGCATCTTTGAGCCCAGAGTTCCTACACTGTGCCTCCTCTGTCTCCGTGATCAGGAAAGTCAGGGGTGCAGAGTCAAGCAAGATCTTAAGGGTTGCCAGCCACCAGTGGCTCATACCTGTAATCCTAGCTACTCAGAAGGCTTAGATCTGAGGACCGTAGTTCAAAGCCAGCCTGGACAGGACAGTCAGTGAGACTCTTATCTCCAATGAACCGTGAGAAAACTGGAAGTGGTAGAGCACTAACCTTGAATGAAAGGGCTCAGGGACAGAGCCCCAACCCTGAGTTCAAGCCCCATGACTGACAAAAAATAATAATAATGACTGTCTCAAGGGTCTGTCTCTCATTTCCGGGTGTTTACCCTCCTAAGTCCACGATTTGGCATCTGTATCCAAACCCAGAATACTCTGCCACCAGATTGATTTGCAAGGAGAGAGAGAGAGAGAGAGAGAGAGAGAGAGCAAGCTGCAAGCCCTGGAACTTGGCTTTTTCACACAAGGCTGGCACTCTCCCACTTAAGCTATCCCTCCTTGTCTAGCTTTTGCTGGTTAATCAGAGATAAGTCTACTCGGACTTTTCTACTCTAAGATCCTCAGATCTCAGCCTCCTGAGTCGCTAAGATCACAGGAATGAGCCACCAGCACCTGGCTTTACTTTGTGGTTTGGGAGTGTTGGTTTCTCTCCAGGCTACTGTGATAACAGCAGAAATTATCTGTAAGAACATTGACATATGGGGCATAGCACAGGCCCTTGTTGTTACATGGAAAAGCCTCAAAGGTTCAAAGACAACTGTTCTTCTAAGGTCAACACTGGGTGAGTAGATATTTGGTGCAATATCAATTCTGTGATGATAGTAATGCTGGGCAAGGGTGACCTCTAGCAATGGAGAAGCTATCTAGCATAGCAGTTAAGAATGTTCATCATGGCCAGGAGCCGGTGGCTCACACCTGTAATCCTAGCTACTCAGGAGGCTGAGATCTGATGATCGAGGTTCAAAGTCAGCAGGAAAGTCCATGAGACTCTTATCTCCAATAAACCACTCAGAAAACTGGAAGTGGTGCTGTAGCTCAAATGGTAGTGTGCTAGCCTTGAGCTGAAGAGCTGAGGGACAGCGCTCAGGCCCAGAGTTCAAGCCCCACAACCGACAAAAAAAAAGAAAGAAAGAAAGAAAAAGAAAAAAGAATGTTCATCATGAAGTTACTTACTCTCTCTCTCTTGCTAGCTGTGTGGCCTTGGATGAACCTCTGACCCTGACCCTCTCTAAGCCTCTATTTCCTCGTGGTACAATGGTAGACAAGAATGCCTTACAGGGCTGGGAATGTGGCTTAGTGGTAGAGTGCTTGCTAGCATGCATGAAGCCCTGGGTTCGATTCCTCAGTATTATATACACAGAAAAAGCTGGAAGTGGTGCTGTGGCTCAAGTGGTAGAAGGCTAGCCTTGAGCAAACAAAGGTCAGGGACAGTGGCTAGGCCCTGAGTTCAAGCCCCAGGACTGGCAAAATAATAATAATAATAATAATGCCTTACAGAGATGAGCACTGATGGCTCATGCCTATAATGTTAGCTGCTCAGGAGGCTGAGATCTGGAGAACTGAGGTTTGAAGCTAGCCCCTACAGGAAAGTTTATAAGATTTTTATCAATTAAGTACCAAAAAGCCAAAAATGAAGCTATGGCTCAAGTGGAAAAGCAAACAATAACAACAAAAACAAAACAAAAATAAAAATAAACCAACTAAGTAAGAGCTTGAGGCCTTGCGTTCAAGCCCTAGTACCAGCACCAAGAAAAGAAAAAAGAAAAGAAAGAATGCGTCAGACAACTTCCATGAAAAGTAGATGGCTGAGTATAGTGCTAGCACACAGTGGTTGCTCTGTGACCTTTTTTTATTTTTCACATTTCCCATCAATACCCTACTTGACAGTCATAAATGACACATCTTACTGTCTTGTGTCTCTTTGGCAGATGGGGGGAATGACGTCCTCCAATGCATTAGTGACAGCAGTAGAAGAGCTAGTACCCCTCCCCACGGCTTCTGTC